TTGGTACTGATAAGAATTTGATAAAATAAACAAATTGAACGTAATCACAAGTGTCAGCATCGTGTTGGTCTCGGTGTCCGACACTGACACGGACACGTCATTTAAGAGGTGTCAGTGTCGCTAGTTGAATATTTGTTTTCTTTTATGTTAATGATGATGCAGGAGTTAAATTCTTATTAACTTGATTCCTGCAGTGAATGCTCGGAGGTACATGTGGCTCAAACCGGTCACTGCATTCTAGACTGTGAAGGCCGTACCAGTTCAACGCGTCATAGTTCTCATGCATGGGTCAAGGGTTCCATCAATGATATACTTGTCCCAATTGAGTCGTATCATCTCTTTGATCCATTTGGTAAACGCATTATGCACGATACACGGTTTGAATACGACCGGATTCCAGCTGTTGTTGAGCTCTGCATTCAAGCTGGTGTGGACATCCCAGAGTATCCTTCACGAAGAAGGACTAATCCCATACGAATGCTAGGGAGGAGAGTACTTGACCGAGGTGGTCATCTAGAGGAGCCTGAGCCATTTCACTTTGCCGAGTCCTCTTCCATAATGGACTTTGATACTTATAGAGCCAGTGAGCGATTTCCCCATCCACCATTGCCAGACGTACCTAAAATCGCCCAAGAAACGATCAACGCATATCAAATTGTTAGAAAGGGTGTCAGGAAGTTGATGAAGAAATACACGGTGAAAGCGTGCGGCTATTGCTCGGAGGTTCACGTTGGACCGTGGGGTCACAACGCGAAGCTTTGTGGATCGTTTAAACATCAATGGAGAGACGGAAAACATGGTTGGCAGGATGCTACTATAGATGAAGTTTTACCTCCAAATTATGTGTGGCATGTTAGAGACATGAATGGACCTCCAATTACGGCTGCATTGAGGAGATATTACGGAAAGGCTCCAGCCGTAGTAGAAGTGTGTGTACAAGCGGGCGCACGTATACCTGGTGAGTACAAGCCGATGATGAGGCTTGACATTGTAATTCCAGATTCTGATGAGGCAGGAATGATTGCTTGATGTTATCTCACAATTCACAAATGCATGATCTGTTTATGTGCAACTATAAATTCATAGTCCTTAGCATGAGAAAAATCCTCAGCATGATATGTTTGATTCCTTGAATAGTTACCAGATTTTGATGTATCCAACATGTATATAAGCCAATAGCAGAACAAGTAGATGATATCACTGTTTTGGTATGTGAATTTCTCTATATAATATCTGAAGCTAGCGAGAAGTTATGTAGGACAAATTATGAAAAGTCAATTTTAAAATTATTTATAAATAAAACATAAAAGTCAATTTAAAAGATATCTATATATAATATCGATGCGGTTTTCTATCTATGATAGTATTTCTTTCTCCAAAATCTAATATTTGGTTTCTTTGCTTACATACTAGTCCTGAAAATTCGAATTTTGGCAGTGATCGATGCAAAACGAGTGTTGATTGATACAAAAGCTTGCTAATTAACAAGGGAACGCACTGTTTTTCGCCTAAATGTATTGCGTTTTGGCAAGGGGAGGCTGCATTGTGCGTTGCTAGAATACATTGTTGCATTCCAGAGGAGGGCGTTGCGTTTGGATGGACTGGTCAGACGAGCTTTGGACCTTTCATACTATTTTGGGGTCAGAATTTTCTCAAATTTTCTTGGTTTGGATGGAGGTCGAAATCGTGTGTTGACTTCGGTTGCAGGATTAGTGTTATGATTAGCGGTCAATCAAGTTGATTATGTTGGGGTATGAGAAGAAGCATCAATATTGAACTAAGAGCAACACAAGTGAGAGATATACCACATATTTATCTAAAATTTTAAAGTGATAGGTGTATGAGTTCTCCCACTTATAAATAATCCAACTCATTGATATATTATTATTCTCAACACTCCCCCTTCAAGTGAGTTCACAATGCTCTCCCTCAAGTAGAAACTCTTTTTATCCACATACACTTGTATCGCCGTTGACATCTATTACTAAGCATCTCGTACTAGGCATTTCGATACAAGTAAGTTGGTCCCGCCGTTGACATCTATTACTAAGCATCTCGTACTAGGCATTTCGATACAAGTAAGTTGGTCCCTTTACGAACCAGGCTCTGATACCATTTGTTGGGCTATGAGAATAAGCATATCAACATTAAGTCAAGAGCAACACAAGTGAGAGAGTTACCACATATTCATCCAAAATCTTAAAGTGATAGGTGTATGAGTTCTCCCACCTATAAATATCCAATTATCTACATTTATAATCAATGTGAGACTCCAACTTACACTTTAACATATTATTATTCTCAACAGATTTGGATGTTAGCATTATAGGTTGAGAAAATCATTGGCGATTTGATTAATTGACCGGTTGGGACGATACAACGAAAAGTATATGGTGAACTCAATGTATAATTTTGTAAGAATCAAGAAGTCGTCGCCATCGACGGCATCACTATTCCTGTATGGAAAAAAATATTGATGACATGTTGATCTGAAGCTATCTTATACATCGATGTAAATTTCTAGTATGGTGAAGCATGTGGTGTATTTGTAAAATTAACACTCTAATGTCTAAGTCAGTAAAATCAGAATGATTTAACTTTATAATAATGAGTGAAATTGTGTCTATGGCGAAAACCAAATTTATAAATGATAGGTGGTTGAAACTGCTTCCACTAGGCATGGTGGAAAGTGCATGAGACCATTGTATTGAATTGATGGCTTTAAGATGAGCAAGTAACTCTGCTCCGGTGTGCATTTTCACTTAATTGTTTTAAATTGATCCTTTTATGTTGTAGGCCAAGTCTCATTTATCTGAATAACCTTTCCGAGATAAATTTAAAAGAACTTAATGAAGATGTTCGGATAGTGAAAAAGTTTTACACTCTCATAAAAATATATCACTCTATCGTTATGACATATAAATAATTTTTAATTTTTAATTTGATTAACGAAATATCTTTTTTCTCAATTTAAAAATAAAGCTTGTGCAATGAGAATCTATGCTATACCGAATTTATTGTCATGTATTTGGAATCTAGCAATCTAATAAATCTTAAGTATTATGTTAATAAAAAAATGTTTTAATATAAATATTGCTTTATATTTTTGATATAATATTAAGTATTATATTTGTTTTTATTTATAAATATTACTTTATGTTTTTGCTCTATGCCACACAAGCATTATTATTTTTTATTAAGTTTTTTAAAAATTTTAAATTAATATCATGAGTATCACTTTAAAGTTTTCTATACTTTAATATATATATATATATATATATATATATATATATATATATATATATATATATATATATATATATATATATATATATATATATATATATATATATATATATATATATATATATATATATATATATATATATATATATATAATTTAGGATGGTACCAGGTACTCGTAAAAATTATCTATTTTGAATAACGTAAAAATGATATGGATATCAATAATTATCCATTAAAATAAATAGATATAAGTGTGAATATGAGTATTTTAATACTTCGTTCACTCCCTATCCTCATAATATATATTTATATATTTTTATTTTATTATTATATAAACATGTTAATCTATCAATTTTATTAAATACATCATTTTTAAATTTTTATATATTTTAATATAAATGTTTATTTATTTTTTAACTCAACAATAATATCTTTTTTAGATATTTTTAAAAAATTAAAAAGATACAATAAATTATAATTGATCAATATTTTTTTAAACTTCAGATTTAAAAATGAGAATTAGTACCCACACAAATATGGACTCGGGCACAAAATTTTTTTAAACCTCTAATTTAGGAATGAGGATTATTGTATCCTACCCAAATTCTATCTATTTTTTTAATGAGTTAAGTCGAATTCGTCTCAGCTTAGCTCGGCTCGTTAAGAATTAGTTTAGCTTAAATCTTGGTTCGAATTCAACGTACACGAACATTTTTTTTAAACTCAAACTCGATTCGTTATAAATTCACGAACAGTTTGGTTCAACTCGTTAGATTCAGCTCACTTGCTTCACATACTTAAAAGTCATTTTTAAATTTTATTTTGATATTTTAAATTAAATTTTTTTTAAAAAGTAAATGTTAAAATAAAATAAAAATTATCCGATTGAAATTTAACTTTGTCTAAAAAAATCTATTATTTCAAAACTATACAATTTTTAAGAGATACATTTGAAGGTCTAATTTAAAAAGCTATACAATTTTCAAGAGATACATTTGAATGTCTAATTTAAAAAACTATACAATTATTAAGAGATACATTTGAAGATATAATTTAAAAAATTATTCAATTGGAGTTTAAATTTGTCTAAAAAAATCCAAAACTTCATCTAAATATTTAGAACCTTACAAATTTAATAAAATAATACATCAAAAGTTACTAGAAATTAATACATTTCTACCCGAGAATGTGTACATCACTTGCAACATTCATTAGACATGTTATTTTCGCAAATGGCATAAAGCCTCCAATAAGATGATTCTAAATGTAATCGTAAGTTTTATTTTCATAACTAGTACGGAAGGGACAATATATGGTTAAGATTTGGGGTAAATTTTTAAACCTACTCTTAAAGTTAATATAATCATTTTCATATATAATCGAGTTGACTCATAAATTTAACGAGTCGAATTATGTACAGTTCAAATTCAGCTCATTTAATTAACAAACTAAAATTTTCATATTCAACTCATTTGGTTCATGAACTTAGTTCAACGATTTAATTGTCGAATTAAATTTTAAATAATTTTCGAATTGGTTCCGTTTATTGTGAGTCATAATCCCTGGTAAAAGTAGTTAACATCAATTAGTTAATAATAAAATTAATTTTATAAAAAATTTATACTCTTATATTAATTTTTATTTTTCTATAAAAGAAAAAAAGCAAAATCATAAAAAGGTAGTGTACTCCATAAAGTTGAATTGTTCTATATATAGAAACTTCATTGACTCACAAACAATAAATTGGTAAAGCAATGAAACCCTTTGTAACACGTTTATCACTCATCGTTTTCATTCCTCTCATTCTTTCACTCCTGTTTCTGATTCTTTTTCAAAAGGAACCTTCTATGGCATCCTATGAAATATTTGGAGTGAAGATAGAGAAGAATCCATCAAAATCCAAACTCAATGAACTTGGTGTTTCTTCATGGCCTAAGTAATTTCCTTTCTCTTCTCACATTTTCTCTTTTACTTGGTTTTTTCATGTTGTGTTTCTGGTAAAGTTTTAAGCTTTTTTGCATGATAAATTTTGGGTCTTGATTATTTTTGTGTTTTACACCTAGGTTTGTTGTGGGGTGGTAATAGTAATTTTTTTTCTTCTATGGGGTGTTTGAGTGGTACTGTTTAGTTGTGTATGATGTTGTTGATTTCTCTTATACCTTTTTTAGGTTTTTTAGGAGGGGTTGTCTTGTAATTTTGATGGTTTGTAAGTTTTTCTGTTGAAGCTCTCTGAACATTCTGTGTTGGATTTCTTGAAAAACTAGTTTTTGGAGGCTAATTTGAAAATTAAATAAATTAAACGTAATAAGTGTCTGTCAGTTTTAGGCTCTGATACAAACACACATTTTTTTTAGAGGTGTCGGTGTTATCTCCGCTTTATCATCATTTCAGAATTATGAATCTGGCAAAAACCATTTTACCATTCACGCATTCAGTACATTTTCGATTGTTAGATAAGATCGGTTAGAGTTGAAGTTAAATTTAGACCTTTCGATCTTAATTCTGCAAATATTCCAAAGGCTTGAATTCGGGAAATTGTGACTGAGGTGAATCTGATTTCCAAATGTTGTCTGTCTTGACTGATGTTGAAAACTCGACTGACCTGACAAGTTCAAATAGTTGAATCACAAGCCAAGAAGCTAGTTAGTTTGGCTTCCAATGATGTGTTTAAGAGTGTTACATCGAATAATATATGACTTGAACAAGTGTTCATAAATGAGGACAATTCTCACCTTACAAATCGATTTTGTAAGATTGATTTAAGTTTAACCCAAATTTTAAGATGGTATCAAAGCTTATTTAAGATCCGGTAGGTCATCTGCTATTACGTTTCCACTAACGGGTCACCCACTATTTATAAGTGGAGGCAATTATTACCTTATAAATTAGTTTTGTAGGAATAAGTTAGACCAAATTTCAATAGGCTTAATAGTGAATGTGCAATCCATATCAAGAAACCGGTAGGAGTGAATCGAATTAGAAATATGCATTAGTATATGACAGACCGTTTTTGAAGGTGTGCAAGATAGGCTACAACACATAGTCTCAAATTTTTTAAGATAAAATTATAGTTAAATGGGATCTTATAATAGATTTGTCATAGTTAAACTATGACTAAATAGAGTTTATGTGACTAATCAACACAGAGCCTAACATCCAAACATAATTTCACTGTCAATTTTATAGTTATTAAACTCTTTGCTTTCTTTTTTGAGCTTTGGTTGTATGACATCTATTCACATTTTATTCCATCTCGAGTTACTTGTAACACAAGAATCTGAAAATTGAACAGGTGGGAAGGTGGTCCATTAAAAATTCCATGGTTCTTTGAAAATGAAGAAACAATGTATCTACTTGAAGGAAAAGTGAAGGTGACAGTTGAAGAATCAGTTGGATCCTTTGGAATTGGAGGTGGTGATTTAGTTGTTTTTCCTAAAGGAATGAACATTACATGGGAAGTAACTGAACCTGTCAAGAAGCACTATAGCTTGAAAAAAGAATGAGCCTATAAAAAAGTCTTATAAGTTTTAACCATTCTGGCCTAATGAGTGATTATGGTGTGTATGAATTTGATTAAGTGATTATCAAACACTATGCAACTAAACCTTCACTTCCATTAGATTATACCTTTGATTGGAAGTGGTAATTTGTAATTGGTGTGTTTATGGTGATTATGGATATCATGCTAATATATTTAAATTGAATTATCAGTTGGAGTTGATCTATGTCAACATAATTTAGGTTTGTTGCTTATCAAAACAAACCCTTAAGAATAATTGTACGAATTACTTTTATAACAAAAAGATAAAATAAACTTAAATTATTTTTATAGATGTTGTTTTCATAAATTATAATAGAGAATTTATAAAAATAAGATTATAAATTTTTACTATAAAAAAAAAAAAAAAGTCAAAGGGTTTTGATAAGGCCTTTTATAGTGACGCATATCCGAAAATATTTTGATTTCACAAAATCAGACTTTATTAAAATTATTTTCAAAATAAGACGACATTAAAATATTAACAAAAATAGTTTTTTCCAATATTTAAAAACATGCTTTTAATTTATGAATTTTTTGATTTTCTAGATGTTGCTTCCACTTGAAGTAATTCTATTTGAAAAGATATAAGGATTATGAAAAATGTGAAGTTTATTGTAATTTTTTGTTAAGTTTCAAATGTGAATTTATGTATGATCAAAATAATGCTGAAATATCAGACAAACCAACAATTAGTTACACTACTACATTTTTTAAATAACAAAATCAATCTTTTTAAAAATTATAAAATGACCAACGATTTACCCTGTTAACGTTTTTAAATAACAAAATCAATCTTTTTAAAATCTATAAAATAAATAACAAAATCAATCTTTTTAAAAACTATAAAATGACAGTCAACGATTACAAATATGTTATTAATCTCGGCAATATAAATTGATACATAGCATCCGCACTAAAGACACTAAAGATGTGTCTAATATCTAATGTGAAATTATTCTCAGATGTGTCTAATATCTAATGTGAAATTATTCTCAGAATATTGTCATCATCAAAGTGTAATAGTATTGTTAATCTCAAAGTATCAGTGTCGTGTTTGACGACATGATAATTTCATTGTCGTTTTTAGAATATCAATGTCATGTAATTCTCAGAATATCAATATCATGTAGTCAGACATGACAATGTCATTATCGTTCTCAAAATATCATCGTCAAAGTGTAGTCATGATAGATAGTGTCTATGTCATGTCTCATATTATGTGAGTGCCTTGTGTAATGGTCTTCGTGTTAGTATTGGTGTACGGTCCACAGCTTCTTAATATAATATGCTTAAAACTAAAATTTGTTAGATTTTTTAGACAAAAATATGTAAGCACTTGGTCCAATCTGTTCCATTTTGATGACAACCAAGTACGCCACAAATGGGAGAGGAATGAGTGTATGTATAACCATAAACTTCAGATTAAAAAAAATGATTACATTCAAGATTCATCAAAAACAATTGAAAATCTGTATAATGTGCTGCCTAAATTAGCAATGCTACACTACAGCTTTCTCTTTTTCTTATTTCTTTCCTGTTCAGTTACAACTATCACCAGAAGCTATACTGTTGTACAATGGATAATTACATCAATTTTTCTTTTAATCTCATTTTTACAAATGACAATGTCAATGACAACTTATACACTAACTATATAATGTATATAATGTTACATGCTCATCGCTCTCGATGAAATATTGGAATCTCTCTCTTGTAATAACTCCGATTCTTCATCGTTCGCCTGCAAAAGATTAAGCAAATAGTCAAAAATCAATTTTATCGAACACACTTCACTCGCGGATGAATTTCACGTTATGAAAGATTGTACCTCGGAATCCTTTGTCTTAGCTAGGTACTTCTCCAAAGCACCGTCTCCGCGGAGAATTTTCCCGCCACATCCAGGAGCCGTTAGTGATCCTACTGATTCTTCATCAACAACTACAGCGTCAACTCGGTCGCTTCCTGTCTTGATATCTGGAATCTGGTGCCATCATAAGCATTGTGTGTATTAATATAAAACCAAAACGGTTGACGAAAGTTCGTATTAAATGAAGATGAACATATTGATACCTCAAACATGGCATCGGTTAAAATGTTTTCTATTAAGGCTCTTAAACCCCGGGCGCCGGTGTTTTTGGCCATTGCTTTCTTTGCTATCAGTTTCAGAGCTTTCTCTGTGAAGTGTAGCTTTACCTGAAGTACGAGTAAAGTTTCAGTCTTTCGGAGTAATTGAAAAAGCGTGCGATTACACACAAAAAAACGGAGTTGCTTACATTATTCATGCTAACTAATTTCTTGTATTGTTTACCGAGAGCGTGTTTTGGTTCTACAAGGATCTGCAGGGCCGACAATATTTTCATTGTCATATATTTATTCCAAATCAAAATCTAAAATAAACAATACCTACAAAATGCGGTGATAGAAAATCACCTCGGAAGATAATAAGGAAGAGATATGATAAGAGCGAAGGCGGTTTAACAATGAAGGAATACCTGCATAAGTTGATCTTCGGTTAACGCCGACAAGCTAACCAAGATGGGGAATCGTCCAATAAACTCTGGTATGAGTCCATATGCAATTAGATCAGAACTCTCCACCTGAAAATTTTAACAGAAATTTTTAACGCAACGTTTTATACTCATTTGGAATTCGAAAGTTCTCGGCAATAGCAAATTACTACACGGAGACAGAGACCAGACAAAAATCTGACATTGGCAAGTCGACACCAGTAAAAAGAGAATAAAATCTCAGCTAATATGAGATCATTTCTCACCGTTGCAAGTAAAGATGATGCTACCGAAGAATCTATTATTCTGCCGGCTCTCATGTTGGCACGAACTGGTGCTCCAAAACCAATAGAAGAATCTTGCCGTCTGGTTTATTGATATATAATTCAAGTTAACAAATATTTCACATAATCCATTACGCGTCTAAAACAAACATCTTTAATCTATGAACAAAATATTTTTCAGGACCACTGCGTAAAGGATCACCTCTCTGAAATTGTTTTTTCGAGATCGATAAATGCTCCACCACATATAAAAAGAATATTCCTTGTGTCCATCTGCATATTTTATAGAAAATTGAATGGAAGATTATTGGACAAATTAACATCGTATGGATTTTAATTGTTATGACCTATGAAGCACGGACATCGAAAACACGACACCGACACTGGTAATAATTTGAAAAAATGAATAAATTAAACGTAATTACAAGTATGAGTGTCGGTTTCGGACACTGACACTAACACATTTTTTCAGCGGTGTCGGTGCCACGAGAAAATTTGTCAAAAACAAAAAGATGAGATGATATTTGTTCCAAAACAACATACCTGAATGTTATCGCCCCGTGGATGTTTCCTGGCTCCTTTCTCCGGAACATTTACTATCTAGACAATAAGAAATCATTTCATGTTTAGGATTTAGTAAGAATGACATTTACTATCAATGAATTTGTATAAATTGATATCTTGGCAAAAGGATATTCTCATATTTCAATGTTTGTTCAATATTAAAAAAAGATTGTAAACCAATTAGCAACGGCAAAAGTTTGGAATCGTTCTACTCACAGTTCCTTCGAGCATTTTTAATAATGCCTGCTGAACACCCTCGCCGGAAACATCTCGGCTGATATTTAAGCTCTCAGCCTGTAAAAACATATCACAACATTTAATATCTATAGTGGATGAGAAATTATAAACTAATCCGATTAAATTAAACAAAAAAATAACCTTCTTTGTTATCTTGTCAACTTCATCGATGTAAATTATTCCTTGTTGAGCTGCTGCAACATTGTAATCTGCAGCCTATATGGCAAAATAACCATCATAGCATGAGAAGAAGGAAGGTACGCTCGGTGAAGCACGAACACAAACATCAAACACGACACTGACACGTCGACAGCGGTAGTAATTTGAAAAAAAAATAAAATTTGAACGTAGTCACAAGTGTCGGTGTCCAACATTGATACGGACATGGACACGCCTTTTGTGATCCGCAATTGAGGACAATGGGAAGCTTAATGATGAACATTGAAAGACAACAATGGCAAGCTTAACAATACACATACCGCAAGTAGTTTATGTAGTATTGATTCAACATCTTCTCCCACATAACCAGCCTGAAAATTAAAACATTTCCTCTTTTAGGTTAATACAACAAAAAAATTTCCCAGGACAAATAAACCGGCTACAAAACCAAATCAAAACAGCTCCTACTATCGAAATTCAGAGTTCCATTTGAAAGTAAGAAATCGATTCCAATCAGTACAGCATACCAAATATACACAAGTACTTATGTTTTAACTTGTTTATGATGAACACTTAGTATAATGCATACTTGCCTGTGTTAAAGTTGTTGCATCGGCAATGACAAACGGAACATTCACAAACCGAGCTAGTGTTTTTGCAAGTAATGTCTTCCCTATATAATGAAAGTTAGATTAGTATAGAAAGCACGTTGTAATTTCAGATACCGATACGAAAGTTGCATGCAATGTGAATGTTATACCTGATCCTGTTGGACCCATCAAAAGAACGTTACTCTTTTCTAGCTCGACATTTTCGTCATCATCAAATACGTCGGAAATTCCTGAGTCTGCGCCCAACCTAGTATTGTAATCGACCAATTCAATCACATAGATAATGCAAAGAACGAGTTATAAGTTTACATTTGGTAAATTTTCCGAAAAAATATCACATAATAAGAAGCATCGGACAAAATTCGACCAAGGAACGTGAATAAAGAAAACCAAAGGGAAAGTAAAATAACTAACCCTTTTGGTAGAGTTGCATGGTATATTCTTTTATAGTGGTTATAAACAGCTACAGAAAGCACCTTCAACAGAAACATAAACCATTAATGAGGTACGATCAAAGGCAAATAAGTTAGAAAAATGCATTTGCAGCGAGTTCATTATAAAAGTAAACTATTATACTAAAACGATTTTTATAGTTTCCTC